TTAACACCAGAAAGTTCAATATGCTTATGTTAGCATTTATGCTACGAGCCTCAAAACAAACCGCTACATCTAGAAATCTAGGATTAAATGACGGGTTCCAGTCGGCCAATTAGAAAAAATCAAAATAATGTTATTGTGTGTGAACTAAAAAAGCATTAGATATTGTTACATTGTTATCACTAGCTGCTCCTTTATTTTATTTAGTTCTGCAAAGTTTATAGTTCTGGATATCAGGTTATAAACAGTGTAGCAAACTCACACACTTGCATTTATTCCTGCGTTTAGTTCTGACCTAAAGTAAAGGCAACATTTACTGGTTGGCCTGCAAGATAAACATCAATTGTTTTTAAGTTTGGACAAAGGAACTTTATGCTTATTTTACTTTTTTTCAGTTTATTTATTTTAACAGAATGAAAGGATGATTGCTTGGTGCATGTTTACAAAGGTTAACTATAACCTGAACCTGCTGCTACGGTCCTCTCCGAATGACATCAGTGTTGGTGAGTGAAGAGTTGTGAGGAAATCCATTCCCATACAATTACTCTTCAAAAACACCTTAAATATCTTTAAAAATCCATTCGAATGGAGATGCATTTACACCAGATGTTCTTTACAGGAACTAGGATTTTTTTTGGCTTTTGTTTACCATAAGAATCTCTACCAGAAACTAGAATTAGTACCAGGAAATATTTTTGTTTAAAATAAATAGGTATAGTAGGAAAGACATATGTTATTATCCGGAAAGTACTAACAATCATGGATTGTATGACTTAAGGTTTTGAAAGGTATAATATAAAAACAAAGAATATTTGTGTAGCGAGTTGAGAGCAGTGAGGAGACGCAGGCACCAATTCAATATGGACTTCTCAAATAATGGGGCGGGTCCCCCAGGGGGGCGCGGTGAGGTGCCTGAGGGGCTTCCAATGGAATATGGCATGCATATGGACATAAGTGTACCACTGCTTTAATGCATGAATTTTAACAAGCCTCCAGTCACTAGGTGGCAGTAACTCATACATATGTTGAGTTACTGGTTGATACCGGTGTAGAACTAAACATCTGGCTGTGGTCCAGAGAGATGTCTGAGAGATCAGTGTCAGCTCAGGACATTCCCAATTCTAGACTGCCTGAGGGAAGAGTTGCATTTGGGTCAAACTTTGTGAAATCCTGAATTAAAAGAAATACAAAAAATTGTGCTTAAACCACCAAGAGAAACATGTCAGAGCCCAAGCAACAACTCTTATATTTTTTTAATCGTCTTGCATTTTGTCCCCTAAATGCTTTTTAGGACCTGACAGCCTCCTTTTGGTCACAGTTCAGCAGACTCACGGCAGCTGATGACTGTAACCAGTCCTGACAATCACTCCGGGCCTGCTCAGACTGTGTGAACAATTACTTGTGACCGCCTTTAACTGCTCGCGCTCACAGCTGTCGCGGGCTCAGGGGAAAGTGTCAGGAGACGCAGGTCTATCAGATCGTGTTTTACGGTTCCGTCGTCCGCCATGAATAATGGATTTTATTTATGAGTCCAGAGAGAAGAGAGAGTGCTGGCCTCGTTAGCTTTATTGGTCAGTGCACATGCAACGACATACCCACACTGAAGTAAATCAAGGGCTCTCAAAGACAAACGAGCTGAGGGCCACTGATGACATCACCATTGTATTGGTCGGTCAATACAATAAAACCCCCAGATATATTAAAAAAGGTTGTTTTTATTTTATATAAATATTGTGATACCACTGTGCAAACAGTTAGTACACATATTTTTTTTATTAGTTTCAGTTGTTACTGCGGACCAGTAATATCTCACCATCGTTATTCAGCCGTTACTGTGGACCAGTAATATCTCACCATCGTTGAAGCATCATTTCATTTTCAAAAATCAAACCTCTTTCAGACTTTCTTCTGTTAGTATCAGAGTCTGAAAGACCTGTTGTTTGAAAACATTGTCAGATTATCTTTGAATGAAGAAAGTAAAGGGACATGACTGGATTCTTTTGGAATTAAGTAAATTAGAAAAACAGTAAAGGGATATGACTGGATTCTTTTGCAATTAAGTAAATTAGAAAAACGGAAGTACATTTTTTCACTGTGTCCCACTGCAGCCCGGAACTGAAGTACATTTTTTTACTGTGTCCCACCAAATAACCTATGGACTGGCACCGGTCCCCGAACCAGGGGTTGGGAAACTCTAAATTAAAGAAACCTAAGATATTGTTGACCTCTAGTCGTGGGACAACAAGGAGTTTGAGACTCCTGCTGTAACCCGTCCATGGGCAGAAGTGGGAGCTTTTAAGACCAGGGGATTTTTTTTTGGTGCTCAAAACACCACAGTCATCCAGGTGGGACTTGACCCATGACCCGTGACCCGTGATCCTCCTCTTACCACTACTGTGTCATGTCTACTACAAAGATTGCAGGACGTCAATATTCACTACTCACTTGCTTTCTCTTTTATCGTATTGAAAAATCTGACCTACTTCCCTAGTGCTTATTTTCAAATTATTTATAAATATAGTTTTCCTGTCCAGTCCAGTGTAACAGCTGTCTGTGTGTGTAACCTGCTCATTTTGAAAAAAAAAAAAAAAGTGGGCCTTTGCTCGTGAAATTATGACTCTCGTGAAAATGATTCCATGCTGCAGTGTTTACCAAGCCGAGGGAAATAGCAGCTCGGTTCACAGATGTCAGTTACTGTACAGCGTCAATTTAGTTGTTTGCTACGGAGGATCTGTGACTTCAAACCTCCCTCTCTTATTCGGGACCCTTCTCAATTTAACGGCAGCGTGACGAACGCAGGTAGCAGCTAAGGCTACACTGTGTTAGAGTTATGTTCCGTATTCTCTCTGTGTGAGAGTATACGTTTGAAGTTTCACTGCCTTGTCGAAACATCTAAAACACACACTCAAAGTTCAACGCGGTGCCAGGAGGTGAATGATGTCATCAACACGACACATTTCCCTCTAATTAGGAATAAAAGCTTCCTGCAGTGACTTCAGGCACCTTCTCTAACCGAGATAACGTTCAACTCAACAGATGTTTGGTTTTTTTTTTTACCATGCTCCACAGGAAAGATACATTTTATTTTGACTTTTTTTGTTGCCATTTTTAATAAACACTGCTCTGACTCTGGTTGTTGTTTAATAAAAAAAATCCTGATGCAATCACCAATGTCGCCGCGGGCCACATCGGCCAGGGAACAATCTAAATTATACTTAATTAATGATGTCAGTCCCACTGTCACCACCTCAGACTGGAGTAAAAAAGAGGAGACATGAGCCTCGGGGCTATGCTCTAAGACGGGAGAAGGAGGAAGGGGAGGGGGAGGAGGAGGAGGAGGAGGAGGAGGAGGAGGCATTAATGTCTGCTGTGCTGCACTCGGCATCAAACACAGATGAAGCCACTGCAAAGACAGCTGGGAAAATAAAAAGCAGCCAAGAGAAAGAGTTTTGTTTGTGGCCGTTTCACACTGTAATTTTCCGCCGTGGCGACAGACGGAGTTCGAACACGTGCCTGTTGTGACACAAGGTTTATGAGGAGTGTGACTCATTTGGGTGAGGACTTTAAAAAAAAAAAAAATTCTCGAAAGTCACGCTGCTCGGAATCCACTCCACTGTGATGATGTTTAATGTCGTAAATGTTTCACGGTGAGAACTGCGTCATGCGGACGTGTCATCGAACATCATACGAGGCAAACATAAGGCCCGCGGGCCAAAACGGGCCCATTGCGGCGTTCGATCCGGCCCACTTGAGGAATTTAGAAAGTGAAATAAAAAAATGCACAAATACTTCATGTCATTATATTTCATTTAAGATGAATATTTTCTAATATACTTGTGCTTATTTGCATAAAAACGAAGGGGAAAAACATGGACTTTTTGTTATTTAAAGGTAATTATGTTGTGATTGTACTGGTCCGGCCCACTTGACATCTAATCAGGCTGCATGTGGCCCCTGAACCTGAATGACTTTGACACTGCTTCAGACCCTTGACGAATCTGCGGTCATGGTTTATCTGGTCCACATAGTGCTTAAAGGAAAACAGTTCTCACAAGGCACCAGAAACATCAACAACCAGGTACCTCAGATGTGCCTTTCCAGTGCAGTGAACCAGTACCTGGCACTAATACTCCTTCCACTGCGCCCCACTTTTCACCTGTCCAACAACGCAGCCGGTAGCGTCGCTGCTTCAGCTAATTCACCTTTTCCACACCATCTGCAGGACGCTCACCTCTGAAGCTGTGGGAGAGTGTGTTTATGAGACACGTGTGGTCTGTTTAGTCTGGCTGTAAAACTGTTTACGCTTCTGATCCCGCAGCGATCCCATCTCCGAGTCAGACACAGACATTAAATACAGCACAGAAAGACCGAGAGGTGGAGGTGATGTCGCTGGCGCTAGTGGGAGTAGTTAGGGGGGTAAAGGTGGAGTCAACCCCCGGGGGCTGTGTATGCATGAGTGCTG